CTCATCTGGCTGTGTGCCCTCTTGCCATGTGGCTGCTGTCTCCCATCCCCTAGGACAGCATTGCAGTGGGGCTCTCATGTCTGTGGAACCAGAGGATGCCAGCAGGAGAGCAGGTTTAGGTTGTAGTGATGCTGATGTGAAGGGATCTGAAAGAGGGTTGTCCCTCAGCAGGACGTTAGTGCCTTCTGCCCTGGGTGAAACCCTGCGGGGATGGATCCTGGCTCTATGACAGCAAAAATCACATGAGAGAGAGGGATGATTGACTACTTCAGACTGCTGATCCTTTAACTTGGAAGGTGCAATCATGCCATGTTTTGTGAAACACTTTCATTCTTCATCAGCATTGGGATTTATCTATAAAAATGGATACAACTGCGTTATAGCATTCCAACTCCAAGGAAACAATCAGTTTAAAAAACCGTGGCAGTCAGTGTGAGTAACAGTAAAGCCATACCTTGGACACTGTTTTTCATGTAGCAGGAGTCTACTTTCACTCTATGGGAGTCTTGTACTCAGCTTTTTTTCCATTAAACACTAATTTTGTACTTACGTGATTTCATGTTAGATTGACAGGGATTCTGTGCTATGTTTACGTGATCTAGTATGTAAATCTTTTTACTTATATTGAATAATCATGGTTTTGAGAAGAAAAGAACTTCCATTAAGTGTATGGTGACTTGAATTCTTCCTTTCAGATTAGCGACTACTTTCAGTACTCCCACACTGAGTGTGACTACCCCAGCTACAAATACCATTCTCCAAATGCTACAGTTCCCATTTGTGAGCTTATGAAGGGAAGAAAAAACTGAAGGCTTCTAAGGGGTGAGAATGGAGAACGTAAAAGGGAAAGGGGAGGCAAGATTTGATACCTGTGCCTGTAGTATGTACAGGGAGCAGCAAGAGTGTCAGCTGACTGGAACATAAGGGAAGGAAGATGAGAGCACATCAGTGTAATAATTTTGGAGTGCTTCCTGTTGACTTGTTAATACTGCATGGTATTTGGCCCAGGCAATCCGTTGTTGTGAATCAGCACAGTTTATTCACTGGAGTATAGGTGTGCCTGTCGTTATTTGAGAATCTGCTTCACTTGAAAGATAACAGGTCAGTCTGGTGAATATTATCATTGCTGTGTTTCAGATTAGAAGCTGAGGCAGAAATGAGTTCATTTATTCTGCTTTGCTATGTGTTTGTTGAAGGCTTTCACCCAGAAGCAGAGGCCTTCCCTCTTGCGTTAATTCAGGAAACTGCCCACTTCCTTCAAGTCCTGACTGTTGCTGCAGCACAAACAGAAACAAGCTTAAAGGCAATCTACTGATCGTGTATTGGGGTGGTGTACAAATAAGCAATGCTTGTCCCAGAGGAGATGAGACTCTCATAGAACAGATCATACAAAATATGGAAGGTACTTTTGTTTTTGAAGTTTGGGATATATTCTCATATTCGGTTATCTTGGATTGAAGGAAAAGTAGGTGTTTGAATAAGAAATGGAGACCTTATGGTGCATAGGGGAGATTATGATTAATAGATGAGAATTTGAAATCCTATGGGAGTGTGGAGTTGCATAGATAAGGCCTGCTGCCCAGAAAGAGGCCAGAGTTAAGTTCTGCAGGGCTTGAAAAAATATCAAAAGGTGGTGGTGGTTGTTGCTCCTGGATTTTTATTTATTTATTTGTTTATTGGTCCCCCTTTCTGGCTCTCCCTTATGCTATAGTAAAATTGCAATTTTTTGGTGCTAAATTCCCATGCAAGTGTGGTTATGTTTCTACAGATACTGTTACATATTCTTAATGCACCCAGAGGGTCGGAGTTAAGGTTAGTACTTACATTTACTGAACCGAAACATCTCCAGAATGCACTTTGTCTATGATCAGTGTGTGAATGCTTCTGTCATCTCCAGTGCATAATAATATCACTATGTTTCTGTATCATGTTTTATGAGTCTGGGACAAAGGATTTAACTTAGTCAGTTGCATGAAGCAGTTCAATGCACAGCAAAAAACCAGCTTCATCAGTGTTGAAGTCTTAGCTGCTTGGTAAACTATTCAGTACGTAGCTGATGTGAGCAGAATTCTCCAGCTGTCCCATGTGAGCGCTGCTGAGAGTCAGGTATCTTGCTCCATGAATCTGGACAACCCACTTTTCCGAGTGGAGAATCAGCAACGTTGGTAATGCTCAGATTTCAGCATGTGTCCCAGCTGCTGGGTCCAGCGTTGCTTCCACTGACTCTTCTGGTGCTGCTCATATTCCAATGCAAACGTGAGAGATCCGGCTCCCTTTTTGTTACATACCTCAGTACCTAGTGTAAAGCAGCTCGCTGGAAGGTGTGAACCTGGTGTTTCAGACTTCATGGGATTGATTCAGTGACTATCCATAGCGTTAGGCTCTGGTGTGGTGTTGAGTAATGATTATTCAAATTCGTGTCTCTTATTCTGTAGCATCTCCAGGTATGACTCTAAATTTCATGTAAGCCGTATTGCTTGTGGTATCTGCCAGCATCTGATGGTATTTCTAGAGCACAGGAACTCTGACGTGTGCTCTTCTAATGTCTTGTTAGTCGTTTGTATTTTGAGGCGCTGGTTCTGCATAAGCCTTGGGTTGATGTTCAGCAGTAAACTGTTTTAGTAGTCTCTTACTGAAGTGTTTTTATGTTGTGACATCTCAACTCTGTAACTGTGGAGACAGTTTCAAGGCCGAATACAAGGCAACTTGAGTAACTGCTATGTCTCATTCATTACTGTACAATGTGAATTCTGTGAAGTAAATTCTTTGTTTTTGCTGATCTCCTGAGTTGTAAATTGAAACTTCTCAGAGTATCTTCTTGTGTTAACGGTTTAGTGACTGGCACACTGCTTCAGTTAATTTATGTGCAGTTAATCCCATTGACATCAGCACTGCTTAATGAAATAATGTTTCCAAAATAATCTTCAGTGATATTGCCTTGACATTAAAGGCCTGAGATCTGAAGGGTTTGTGTTAGCTGGTACTGTATTTTTACGGAGAGAAGGCTTTGAGTTCTTGTTCTCAGTGTTGCCAAAGAAAGCAGCCTGCTTTGTGTGCGTGCCTCAGAGAAATGTGAAGTAGAACAACGTGAGAACAGTATAAGGGTGGAAAGGTCAGTTTGCATCATGGCCAGGACCAATTGCTTGGAATGGCAGCACATGGGCGTAAGTCATCCATACAGTTGTCCACTTCTTCCTTTGTCTCCAAACAGCCTCATGTGGGAAGAGAAGATGCCTTAAAATTATCACCTGTATTCTGGAGTAGATCAGAATCAACTGGATGTTCCTAAATAGTAGTTGAAGTAGTATCACCTGACCTTGAACTTAGGAGGAGAGCTAGAGGATAAATGTTTATTTTTATTATTCAGGACATTTGGGAGTTTGCTTGATACTACTGGGAACTCTTACACCTTTTTCGGTGCTCGGTGAGGAATGGGACAATTCAGAAGAAAAGTTACTCATGCAGGTTCTGCATCTGGAAGACAGAACATGCATCTGTGACAGTCTTTACTGATGGGTTGGAGGAGAGAGGTTTTGTCCCATGAATTATCGGTGGAAGCACCAAAATGTGAATAAGTTCAGTACAAACGCATTCTATGATTAAATCCTCCTTCAGTTCTCTTGGGGATGCCAGAAATGCCACCTGAAATGTTCAGCCCATGACAATGCAAAGTACAAGAACATCTAGTAAATGTGAGGTTCCCAACTACAAATAAGAGAGGCAGTTTTTTTGAGTTGTTGGTTTGTAGTGCTGCTTGTTGTCTGTGTAGTTGGCGCAAATGATCTTTGGGATGACAAGGGCATTATTCTGCTGATTCCTCCTTCACAGCAGGACCAGCTCCAGTGCCATTACTGGCTGAGGTAACAACCCTCGCTCCCTGAAGAAAACAAACAAAAAGCAAAACCAAATGGAAGCAAACAAAAAGAAAAAACAACCCAACTTGTGGTCCCATTAGCAGAAGGTTATTTAAATAGAATGGTACTACCCACTATGTAAAATAAAATCGCACCATAGAGCAGCTTTTATTTTATGTTTTTGCATGACCTAAAGAAATCTTTCATGTAAACTGAATCGTGATCAGCTCTCACTGGTGTAGCTGAGCAGTAATTTTATTCAGGCATTGTTTGTGTCTTTGTGAAACTGATCACAAAGCTTCTGTTTTTTCTTATGTGTTTTTTTTTTTTACGTGATACTTGCTTGTTCCGGATAAAGATGATAAGCTTATTGGGCACATCCATCTTCATCTTGCTGCCTGCAGCAATACTCAGAGGTGGCATATATGGGACGCTTGCTTTGTTTTCCAGACCCTTAGTAATTTGGGCTCTAGAAAATGGAAGTTCTGTGGCAAGCTTTGCAGACTGAGACCTGCTTGTTTATCCTGCATGGCTCTCAGCTTGGCTATCTTCTGAAGCTCATCTGTCGGAAGAGGAGGAGGCTGACAGTGATGAGAAGGCAGACGTTCCCCAAATTGTTTAGGCAGTGCTTTCTATCAGAATTTGTGGTACTTTCTATCAGAATGCTATTCAGTATTTGTCCTGGGCCTCAGCTTGGGGTGATGCGTTTCCTTTAGCTGGATTTCCGTATTAAAAAAGAGAGCATCCAGTCCTGCTCCAGGGTCAGGCAGGACTGATGACTTCGGCAAGTTTTGTTTTCTTGGAGAGGAGTCAGGCATTCATCTACATGTTCCCTTGGAATCCATTGGTTCAGGAGATCTTCAGTCAGCTGGGAAGAGGCCAAATCGCTGCCAGCCTTAAAAGGGTCCTGGCAATTTTTCTAGCAACAGTCCATGGTTTGTTTAGTGCTGCGTTCTGGCTTTCTGGGCCCTCCTTCGTTAAGGGACTAACTGCCTGAATCTCCTTGGGCTGACATCCTGGTTGGTGAGGGATTTCTAGGAGATTTATCAGTAAAATGGACTACGTAATAAAAAATAATAATATATATATATATTCAAGGATGTGGCTTTTTTATGTCTTTTACTGATGCATTATATCACGCACTAGGCATAAAACAGTTTGGTTTCTGCTTCAGAGGTTGCAATTTCTGTTTTCAGTGTTACGTGCTTGAATTATAGCCTGGTTTATTTACCAAAAGAACCAACCTCCAAAGCAACCCAAGACACGCTGGTACGGCTGCTCAATGTGATTATATGTAAGAACTAACATGCTGCAGAGGACCAAATGTCCATCTCATCCAGGATCTTGCCTTTATCAGCGGCCAGCAGCAGCAGCTGACTGAACAGCATAGGAAACGGAGGAAGGCTGTCAGCTGCTGAAATATTAACGGAGTAAATTTGTGACAGACACTTGTTCAGCCACTGCCTGAGATGGAAACTGTGTTTGGGTAGCTACAGTGAGAACAGCAACTTCAAACTAATTATAGGTGAACTTGATGGCTTGTTGAACTCATTTATATTTGTTGCTCCCAGTGCTCCACAGCAGCAAGCTCCAGGCAGTTTTACCACGTTTCTGTGTGTGGGGTTGGTTGATGTTGAGGTAGCCAGTCCCACTCATCAACGTGCCCTCCAGTTGTCGTTCCTCTCCATGCCATTGTAACTCTGTTTTGAGGTGGAGTGTCCAGAGCTACAGATAACTCGCATCACAGCGAATTGTTCCCTGTTTTGTTCTTAGCTGTGTTTTTCATAAATGCTGAGATTTTTTTTTTCCTGACTTTTTCCTGCTGGGAGCTGAACTTTGCTTGCAACAATCTCAAGATCTTTCTCCTGAGTAGTAGAGTGTAGTTAAGGCTCCTTGTGTATTTATAGCTAGGGTTATTTTTTCCCTCTGTTACTTTGTACTTGTCAATGCAGGATAATAAAATGACAAAATAAATTATTTGGTATCATCAGATCTGCTATAACTCTGAAGTTTTTCTTTCATTCTAACTTCGTGCAGTAATGGGAATTGTCATAATGCCCTCACCCTCTGCTTTTGCCAGATTAGTCACAAATGCTCACAGGCTTAGTGCGATCCTTGCTATGGTGCCTTCCCTGCTGTATGACTGTTCAGTGTTCTGTTCACAGTCTTTTAGTATATTCTTTAGGAGGAGAAGGTACCCTCATGGGTTTTGCTTTAAGGTGATGTGAAGTGTACACATTAGCTTGCCTTTCCTTTTTAGATGCAACGTGTGATGTAGGAACTTTCTGCTGGTCCAGATGTATGTATTGCAGTGCCCGTTTTCCTTTGTTTTGAAGTTGGATATCCAGGAGCTTTGTATCATTAAGTCTCAGCCTGCTATATTCTCCAATCAACACCTAGGAGACAGCATTCTCTAGAGATGGGATTTCTTTGCACCATAGTTTTAATGGCTGTTGCTTTGTAAGCTTAGTGTCATGACTTGCATCACTTCCTGTAGGTAGCGTCATCCCTGCATCTCTTTTTCAGTTCTTTCTTCATTGTCTTGTATTTTTAACTCAGTCTGTCATGTTTTTGTTATGATCAGCTTTTGATGGTGATGATGGTTTATTATTATAAGTTTATTTTTTGAATAAGCATCAAGAATCCACTGCCTGTCTCTCCTATAGTTGTATCAGTAGGATTTTTGTAGCTTTATCTGAAACTCTGATTTTAAAGCCCAAACTTCTCGCTCACTCAACATTGATCTTGAATAGGGAATATTATTGGTTTTAAAGCAGTTTGGCTGTCAGGTGAATATCAGGTTTTAAATCTCATGGGTTTAATCCTTGTTTAGCTAAAACACCCCAGTGTGATTTCTGGGGGGTATTTTTGTATTAAGGAGTCAAATTTTTTGTGAAGTGTGTGAGCAGACATTTTCGGAGAAGAAATATTTCTGGAAAGTAATGCTTCTTTGATTACTGTGTTTCTAAATGTGAATTCACTTTCCTCCTGCTGCTATAGGAATTGGCTGGGGATGTTGTAGTTAGGCTGACAGTGTAGTATGTGTGTCCTTTCTTAACGTGTCTGAGGAGCAGGAAGAAGGGCTGTGACAGATACTTGTGTCCAGAAGACTGCTAGCTGGAGGGCAAGATGACTGATGCTTTGTGTATGAACATGCAGATGCAACATTCACGCTGTAATACTTTCTCCACTGCAGGAAAATTGCATCCTTCAGCCTTGCTCGCAGTCCCACAGCACTGTACACATTTGTAGACATCAAAGTGGTTTATTAGATTATTGTTGGAGGAGTCAACCCCCTCTCAGCTTCTTTCAATTTGTGCATTTAGTAATTTGAATTGCAATCTTACAGTATTATAGTCAGAAGCTCATAGCAGTTTGTGCTGTTGTATGGATGTGTACTTGCAATGCTTGGCAAGTTGTGGGAAGATTTTTTGGTAGGTTAGTATTAATCTGCTGTGGAATTTGAACAGTTTGTAGTATACTGCGTGAGTGCAGTGGGAAGCTAATAGCTGCAGAAAGTTCAATTCATAAAAATGATTGATATCTTGCCTGCTTGTGTAAGAACTTGTATACAACTTTTGAAAAAGTAGAACTCATGATTTTTAGATGTTTATGAATGGGAAACCTAAGTGATATTTTTCTGTTGTTTTTGTAATCTAAGCAGCTGAAGCTTGCTTGGGTTTCTGCCTCAGCAAACCATTATTTGTTGTATTAGTGAACTTCAGACACTGCTAGAAACATATGGAACCAGGAATTAATCCTTCTGTTATTGTAAGCCAGGTATTACTATTAACAGAGTGTTTTTATTTAGAAGATGAAATGCTGTGAGCATCTCGACAGAGGCTGTTCTAATGAACTGGGTTCTGAAACTAGCAACACATGCTACTGCTGAGCCAGAGCCCTTTTGTCTGTTCACTGAAAACACCATCCTAGTCTCTTTAAGGGGAAGGGGAAAAAAAGTACTTCTTAGCATTCTGCCTTCTTCCAGGGCTGGAGCTTGAAGTGTATATGAAAGGATGACATACAAGCCACTTCCCCCACAGAACCAGTGCCAGATATTCTGTGCTTCTTAATGCAACTAGAGAAAATAGAAAGGGCTGAAATAATTGGAATTCTTAATGTTTCTCCAATAGATGATATGAAAATATGCCATTTAGCGCAGGTTAAAATGGCAATAGGGACTATTACTCACTAGGAGCAACTTCCGAGGCGTTAACTGCCTCTTGTTTTAGCATTCTTAAAAATGCCATGTTTGTTTTGGGAACTTAAGACACCTCCTGCCTGGTACAAGGATGTATATTTTTCTTGCAACAGAAGGGGCAGAAAAAAGGGTGTGGAGACTGATATCTTCATGCTCTCCTTCCTCCTAGGGCAGGTGTTTCTTGGAAGAGGAGGGAAAAAGCAGACTTTGCAACGCAGTTGTGGTATATTGGACAGGGTAGAGGGAGGAAAGAGCTGCTTGGATTTTGAGGTCAATTGACAAACTTCCAAGGGGGAAGAAAGAATAGGTTTTCCCAGGATGCGTACATAAACTTGTTCTTGCTTTTCTGTTTTTGTGTTGCATGTTGTTTAATTATGAGCTCTTTAGGAGGACTGATATAAATGTTCTGTGCATTAAATATATCAGGGTTTCTGTTACACTGAGTGAGTAAATCACTGTTCAAATAATTATATATTAAGCAAAAAGTTGTGTGTACTCTGGGCTGCCTGGGAAATCTTTGGGTTTTTGTTACTTTTTTTTTTTTTTGATTGCTGTGGGTTGTTCCCTGGAAGGAACAAGCTGTTGTGTGGTTGTGTGTTGGTTTTTTTGGTCTGCTTTGTTTTGTTTGTTTGTTTTTCTGGGAGAAGAAAGAGTGTAGTGAAACCATTTTTGTTTAAACCTCCAGTATTCAGATGAAATGGTGGCAGATACAGAAACACACAAGACTCGGTGTTCTTCAATTGTGCTGAGAGTTTTTCACTGTTGTTGTATGCCAATGTCTGTCTGACCTCCAGGATGTTACCAGTTGAAGCTGAATTGTAAGGCTTGGTCTGTACCCTGGCTTATGCTGTTGTGTTTCCTCAGTAGCTTTGTGCGAGTCTTGTGAGACTGTTGAATCCAGTGCTTTACCCAAAACGTCATTTGGGGTAAAGATATTAGGAAAATGTTTTTTTAATCTCAGTCTTTCCTGGATGACAAAACTCCCTCCACCCAAACCTGGGCTTTGCCGAGCTAAAGATAGATAAGGAATCCTACGAGAAGAAAAATGATGAATTAGGGGAAGTAAAAGGCTTAAAGTAGTTGTCAGAATGGGATTAACCTGACAGAGAAATTGAGTTCTCTGTAAGAGAACACTTGAGGTACTCGGGCCACCACTTAATTGCGCTTTTCATTTAATAGCTTTGTAGGAAAATAAACAGGAGGGTGAGGAATTGGTGTTGGAGGAGAGAGAAATCCGTGGATATTAAACCAGCGCTGAGCCTGTGTTGTGCATCTTTAGAGAGTGGGGAAATGTGAGCGCTGGGGAGCGGGCAGGAATGGAGCTGGCAGAGGGGATTTCTCCCCACAAAGGTGTGCTGCAGGAGCAGCAAGGCAGCCCTGCGGGCGGTCCTGGTGTGCTCGGGGATCAAACAGCAGCAGCCATAGGCAGCTCGCAGGCTGCGGGAAGCAGCTGTGGTAAAGAGCAGGAGTGAGGGCCAAGCCTCACACAGTAAACAGCTAATTCCCTCTATTTTATTTATTTGTTTCCACTATGGGCACTACAGTTCCAGAAATCAGAGCAGAAGCGCTGGTGCTGGAACAGCCTGCGAGGGAAGCAGGGCGAAGGGGCAGCCCGGGGCCTGCAGGCAGCGGTGCGGGCCGAGCGGCCGTAGGCCTGGTGACAGCTGTGTCTGAGGCTGCAGGAAGGCAGTGCTTGTTCTGTGCCTGTGCTGCACTGGGAGCGCCTACAGCCTGTGTGCTGAGCACCAGCAGCTGCTCCGAGGATGCGGTAACGGCCCTTCTCACTCATGCTGTTATTGTGGGATGGAGGGGGAGAGAAAGGAGCTTTCCATATTCCCTTCAGCCTAGAGTCAGAAACAAGCATGCGTTGCCTGGTTCTGTTTGCTGTCTTTTTATGTAGGCTTATAAGACGTGTGCTCTTTGTTTTGTGAAAGGTGATGTCTTTAAGTGCTCGGTAATAATTTCTCAGTACGCTAAACCAGAAACTTACAAAAAGCTTAACGCTGTTTATTTTCTTTCTTTAATACGTACACAGAGCATATCTCTTTTGCTGTGGGAGGATCTTAAGCTAGTTCTTTCCTCAGTGAGTCTCTGTGCTCGAGACATCAGGAATATCAGCATGATAACGTGTTATAATGAAAGAATGGCTGCTGAAATAAAATAAGCCTGAATTAAAAAGCACATCAAAATCAAATGCAGAATGAGAATGGGTTTTAGTAAATATTAGCTGGCTGTGCTTAAAACAGGTGTTGTATTTATTCAGGAATAGGGAAAATAGAACTTTCTGATAACAGCAGGGGGTCCTCGCTGCCTTTCACAGAGCTCAGAGCGCCCAACAGAAGTCTGAGGCTTTTAGTGGAGAACTGTGTGAAAGTGAATTTGTGATATTTCTTCTAGAAAAAAAAAATCTCTTCTAGAAGGTGAGAAACATTACCTTTTTCATCTTGATCTGCCTTCAGACTTTGAGAACAGGGAACAAACGGTTCCCCGTTAACAGTCCCCTCAAACAGTTAGATATTTTTGTCATGTGAACATCTGTTCACTAACAAATCATTTTTATATTGTCTCATGATAATTATTCAGCTGCCTGTGACATACTAGATCCAGAGCGATCTGTGGCTTAAGGTAAGAATTCATGTGTGGCTTCTTAGTTTGAGCTATCTTGCTTCCTGTTAAAACACAAATTCTACAAAAGAGAAAAAGAGCTTCTGTATTCAAGTACTTTATGGTGTCATTAAATATAGAACACGCAAATGTACACTAGGAGCGAAATTTCAAGTTTATGCAGCTGTTCTATACATACAAGATATAGTATATGCATTAAAAATAAGCTAACAGTTACAGGTCAACTTCTCTTAAGAACTGTGGCAGACAGGATGTCTGGACGTATACTTGTTCCAGCATATTGATTTGAAAGTTGACCCACAGCAAAAAGTTTACAGGTTGTATGCAAATATATCTAAAATAATTTGTTTTCTCAGTGACCCTTTTACACAATCTGTTAGCAGAAAATAAACAGCGAAGGAATTGTTCTCTTCAGTGCTCTAGTGATGATAGTGATGATGGCTCAATGAGATAGCAAGATTCAAATACCTCTTTTCTGAGTCATCCTGTAGATTGTCTGGGCTCAGAGTGAAAAGAACAGGTTTATGTCACTGGATCATCAAAAATAAACTTGCCAGCCATACTTGTGACAAGGTGGAGAAAGTGAAAGATGACTTCTGATTGCAGCAGCTAAAAACAAAAGCAAAAGCAACAAGGTGTGGTTTCTTACTTGGTGTACACAGGATAGGACTTGCAGCTGCTGAAGGAAGGAAGAAGGTGGTCTCATTTCTGCCCCTTGCCAGACCTGTCGGTGACTCGTTTTGCTTCCTGCAGTGTGACACCCTCCCTGCCTCTAGAAAGGAGGGACTTTGCAGCTGGAGCAGTGTGAGGGAGGGAGAGCAGGGCAGATAGGTCAGTTGCGTGGGGAAGTGTGCCAGCTGCAGCGTAAGTGAAATGAAAGTGGAGAAACTGAAGGATGGCCCATAAACTCTAAGTAGGACTGGGATTTACTTAGACTAACAGTATACATCAAGAGGTTTAATCTTTCTTCATGCATCCTTGAAGAATCAGTCTGTTAGCAGGCTTCAGGGGCACACTGAGAGGAGCTTTACCGAAAGTACAGTATCTGATTTTGAAACCGTTCTATAAATATGGAAGTGTAAGAGATTATCTGTTGCTGTGAGGTACCCTGCCATATAATCGCTAATCACAATGCATCTGAATTTTGACTGTTTGCTTCTTATAGCTTATGTACCTAGCTTCTGTCTGATATTTGTGGTAGGGTAACATCAGTAGAAGCTTGTGTAGCTAATCTCCATCAATCTGCTGCTGAGAGTCTCCCTGTTGCTCCTTGTGATTCTCATCCTGTGATGCTTTAAACTCCAAATCCTTGTGATAGCGGAGCTCTTCTCTTTCTTACCCTGTAAATGTGTGCTAAACTTCTTTGTTGAGCACGTTTTCCCATTTCAGTTTGCTGTTCCTTAATTTTAAAATGCCATGTATAATTGCCTGTTTCCTGTTGCACGCAAGTTGCCGTTTATCAAAATATGTTTAATAGTGATTTATTCCCATAACTGATATCCCCTTTAAGTAGTTTTCACTATACTTTGTAACCATGGAAATGGTGTACAGGCGATATTTATAAGGTAGAAGAAAAACAGGGTGTCTAATGGGACCCCTGCTGTTCTGAAATCTCTTCGACGGCAACAAAAAAAGTCCAGGCTCTCGGGATTCCATATAAATGTAATAAGTCTTCTGAAAAGCAGAGAGATTTTTTTCTATAAAATATGTATTCACTTTAAATAAATTAATTCACACGTTCTTGTTGGATGGTCCTTTAAAAATTCATGTTCTTTTATCTCTGTTCTCTAAGTTTTGTAATCTTGAAACTTTGCTCTTCATCAGAATGCCAACTCTAAGAAAACTTTAATTGATTTGCAGTCACAGTGCTGACACTGAGACTGAGAGTTAGCTGTTGCTTGCTGGTGCTTCTGGTTAATGCTTGTTTAATGTTTTAGCACTTTCACTGCTGCTTCCCTAAAAGCTGTGCTGTTGGACAGAGCTTTTTCCTCCCTGAGCTCCTGAAATGTGTAGTGTGAGGGGGGAAGAGGGTAGAGGGAGGATTATTTCTTCTTCTTAACTTTTTGCTGTTTTTTTTTTCCTCTAATTTTATTCCTCATCATTATTATTCTGCTCTAACTTTTTTCACTTGTTTGGCATTTCCCCCTGGTGGCAGACGAAGCTAACAGCACTGTGTGCTGTGGAAATGGCAGGCCGGAGTCCTTGAACGGCCCTTTTTTGTGATTGAGCTGCTAGCTGTTTTTCTGATTATTTATTTATTTATTTATGATGCCGGTTTTTCCCCTGATGACCCCCAGGAGACCAACAGGACTCAAGGAGCAGCTCGCCCAGGCCGGGGCTGCACGCACCCCCAGCTGCCCCTGAGAAGCGCTCAGCGCTGCCAGCGGTAGCTGAGATGCTGCCAGGTTTGTTTCCTGCCCGCAGCCCTGCAAGCGTTCTTCGGATCAGCTCCCGTTGTACTCTGGACCTCTCCCAAAACTCTTCTGCCTCACTAATGTGTAATTCCCGCAAGCCGGTTCTCTCCAAGATAAAGTGGGTTGCTAGAAAAGGAAAAAGGCTGGCACTCGGTATGAAATTTTTCTGTCATGTTTCAGTGAATAAAACAGGAAGTTGGAGATCCCTCCGTTCTTAATGGAATTGGAGAGAAAAATACTACAGTAAGAACTGGAGCAGAGTTTTTCTCATCGCTGTGTCTTCAGTTGTTAGAGCAATTACTTGGATTTCCTTAGTGTTTAACCGGTATTAAATGCTGTTCTTCCGAGAGAATAGTTTGCTCTCCTCTTTGCAATTCCTTCACCCGTATCCTTTTCCCAAGTAGCCCTGAGTCCCAGGACTATAAAAGGCAGTCAGAAACCTCTCCGCCACGGGAATGAGAAATTTACAACACACCTTGAGAAAATCAGATGATAGTGAACTGATTTTTCTGGACGCGTTATCTAAAAAAACCGTCAAACAAGATGACTCTGAATAAGGCCCCTCTGGAATTGTTTTTAAACATTGAAACAAAACTGGGCTGTACATATAAGGTTTGGACACTGGGCTTCTATTTTGGATTTACCTACCATACACCTGAAGGGGAAAAAGGTGGATACTTTGTAAATATTTTGAAAATTTAAAAAAAAAAAAGATTCAAGTTCTGAGACTGCAAAAAATGTCAGTTATTTTAAGCATAGCAACAGTTCAATTGATAAACTGTATTTAAAGTGAGCAAAAATGCCCGATTCCAGGAACTTTATGGGATGTCATAGAATGCAGTAAAAATGTCTAGAATCTGACTCTAAAGTCATCCTTAGGATTTGAATCTTAATTTTTGGAAAAATAAAATTCTGTATCTACTGGCTTCATCAATGAAAGCTTTGGTTTTGCGCTGCTAATAACCAGAAATTTCGCCTTCATTAGAAGTGGGGCTTCCTTTTGGCGTGCGTGCGTAGATAAACGATGCCTGCTAAACAGCAAAGAAGTTTACCAACGTACAGGTTGGGTTAATGCAACTTTACATGAGCAGGAATTCAGCCATGCTGCACTGAAGATGGTTTTGTGTTCAGCTGAAAAGCGGTGATTCACTGAGCAGAGGGAGGCTTCATGTTCTTGGTAGTATTGCCGTGGGCACAAAAACAAGAATTGTACTCATGATCCCTTCTTGAACGTTAGGAAGGGTTATATGGGAAATACATGGGGCCCTTGGTGGCTGTTCAGGATGAACTTTTACCGTGCTTACCTACAGTCATAGGTCAGGTGGACTTTCTGTAATTCTCTCGTTTTGTTTTATATAGCTTTTTTTTCCTTAAAATCACAGATGCCTTATTTATCCTATGGAAGGATGTACTAAAGCTGGCAATTCAATGCTTTTGGTTTTGTTTTGTTTTGTTTTTTAGATGGCAGCCTTTTATCTGTAAAGGGAGAATGTAGAGGGAGGCTGAGTGTTTCATTTTAAAGGTGGGTTAATGGTTAATCCTCAATGAATGAATTTATGCTAACTTTGTTCTCTTTCAAGTGGCTTTAGGAATATGCATCTCTGATTTGAGAAATGCACCAAGAGTTTTTGAAGGAGAGGGTGTTGTGTATTTGTGTGGGTTAAATGTTGCAAAGCCATGTAGCTTATGGATCTGCTCCAGTTGATGGTTTTCCAAACTGTTTTAGAGAAAGTGAGTCATCTATCTCCCAACAAAATAGGCTTTTGGTGTCTTAAACTTGAAGTTGTGTCCGTTCCATGCTATGGACAGAGAGCTCTGATTTAGGGCTGGAGCTCGTGGCCTCTGTGCCACCTCCCTGCCTGGCCTGTGCTGCTGAGGCGGGAGGTGTGTTTTTTGTCATGGAAGTGGCAGCACCTGTGTAACTAATGGGATATTTGAAATGGGAACAGTAGGTTATTAAGTCATTTAAAATAGCTCGTCTACCCCATCTGAGCTGTGGTTGGTCTGTCTTTTCCTTGAGGCTATAGAAATCCTACCCTGTTAAGAAATATGAAGTTTTCCTGTTTTTAACTTGAAAATCACTGTGAAGTAATGTTTATGACTTGTTGTCCTAGTATGTACTGATAGCATTCTCTCTATATGGGATGCCTTTCAAATAAAGGAAAAAAAAAAATACAGTTGCTTGGAAGAGTTTGCATCTAAAGACAGGAGGGTCAGAGAAGATGAAACATCCTCTATGCAGTGTATTTTTTTGGGAGGGGTGGGGAGGATTTAAGCTTAACATTATGAAGAAATGCTGTGAATCGTGAGAGGATGTCACAATTTCCTTTGCACAGCAACCAGTCCTTTTTCATCAGAGTCCATCCTGTGCTCTGAACAAGTCAGAAGTCCTGTTGGCAAGGAAAAAAAAAAAATACAGGATTAAATATCAGTGTGGTATGTAGCTTTAATCAGGAACTTTTTATATATCCGTGGTATAACAGTACCCTGTGCTAGCTTTCAGAGTTAGGGAAGGTACTAACTGGAAAGGGCTAAAAGTATTGTTAATTTCTCACTTCTTTTTCCCAAATGAGTCTCTGGTTACAGTAGCATAAGCGTTATTGTATGACTTCAAGACCACAGTGTCTTACTGATGTGACCAAACATTTTGGTGTACAGATACTTAGCATTTAGGTGTTCTTAGATCTGCAGGTGCTGTTTACAAAAGCATTTAACCATCATGTGTAGTTCTTGTGAAATCCTCAGGGGCTACCAAGCCTTGAACGCAGCAGTTTTGTGCTTTAACTTCTCTCTTTATTCACAGGTTTCAAACAGATTAAAGTTGATCTGCAGAATATGATTGTTTTGGTAATAGCAGTGTATTTTCTCTTACATATGTTGTCTAGAAATGTTGAAAAGGTTAAAAGCCTTTATTTTAATCTTTTTTTGTTACTTCAAGTGTGTGTATAGTGTATCAAAATTTGTTTGGCTACAAGTGAAGCATTTTCTGGAAATCATACCGGAGTGTAAAAATAGAGAGCCATCATGTAGGAAAAGGAGCTGAGAAATTAGTACATCTTTTTGTATTAGACTACAAACTCAGAATAATTCAGGTTGGAAGAGACCTTGGAGGTTACCTGGTTCTACCCTGTAGATCAGAGTAGGGCCAGGCTCGTTCTTACCTCAGATTGCTGAGGGTTATATGCAATCAAGTCTTGAAAATCTGGTTGACTTACTTAAAAATGTAACTTGCTACTTTTTATTAAGATATTTGGACCAGTTGGGTGCAGTTTTTAATTAAAGTAACAGCTAAAAACCCCTCTTTATTAATACGGGTGATTGCGAGTGGTTTAATTTTAATTCTCTAGTGTGTTTTGTAGTGAGAGTTAAGAGGTGGTGCAAGCTTGTGTATGTCTTCTTGCTGAGAATGAGAAATAATCTAATTTGCTTAATAGAAGCAGATTCTATCTGGTACCTTTTCCATTAATACTCTTCTGGGTTGGCTTCCAGTAGCTGCGGGTAGACTTGTTGAGAACCGAGGCTGTACAGATTTAGTTGGTCACAAACTGTTTTCTGGCAAGTTTTTGATTTTGGGTTTTGAATTGTCATGCTCCACTGATTCATTAGGGCTTTGTGAAGCACAGTTGAATTCTACTTTTGAAATAAGCCATTGGACTGACAGGTCCTTCATTTCAAAGCAGTGACTGCTATTAAGAACGTGCAAGCTGCGCTGACACCTCTGGTATTGCTACTTAGGCTCTCTATTGCCAAGTGGAAGTCTGTTAGCTATGGAAGCTCTGTTCCCTGAGGGCTGGAGTCTCTTTGTGCAATAGCCATCAGCTGTACTGAGCTAGAGCCTTCCTGAGCTGTGTGGCAAACTTAAGGATACATGAATGTATTTATTAAGAGGAAATTAAAGGTTATGCTCAGTGCTTACTATCGCTAGAGAAAGTTGCGCCTTCAAGGTAGATAATGATGCCCTGTAGAGATCATCTGTCTTGACCATGTTTTCATCTCTACTTGCTATCACTTTTGACTAGACAAAAGTGGCATTATCACTACATCTGCTGCCTTAAAAATTACTAAATTAGTTATCTGGAGATTGTTTGTATCAGACAGGCAAATGTGAAAAATTTGGGGGGTTGCCTGATCAGTTTGCCTTTTTCTTGTTCTTCCTTTTAAGGAAAAAAAAAAGTTTAACTAGCATGGATGATAGAGTTGTTTCAATTTAGGACTACTAGGAGTTCAACTACCATGCAGTGAAAGAGGTATTTATGCTATTGATGACCTAGGATCAAAACCAAAGAAGGTGACATCCTACCTCACAACTGAGAAGCGATTGTCTCTGTGTGGGAGGTGATAGAGATTGAACCACTTAACAGGTTATTGTAAGGGCTAGCGCATAGGATGCTATAAAAATATGAAGAGCAATGGGAAGTGTAAGCCTATTCAGGATGCTTGGAGTTAGCAGGCAGGGATATTTGCTCTTCATTTCTCTGTCTCCCTGTTTAGGAAAACTCTCCTGTATCAGCATAAGTTTTTATACAGCTCCCATTAGTGCACTGCTTATGAGGAAACCCATTTTTAATTTGCTGTAGAGCTTAGATGTTAACTGAGAAACCCATGCAAACTGAAAACTCAGAATGAAATTATTCAACAGATACTTTATTCTTTAAGCTTATCCTCTCTGCTAATTGAAGCAGAGGTGCCAGGAAAAACCCAGTACTTGCACGAGGGCAGAATTAGAAGGTTTTGTATTTTCAGAGCATGGGCTGTGGCTGTTCCTTTTTGCGTGGCTGGGGCTTCAACCCAGCGCTGTGGTGATGTGTGTGGATGGAAACCTTGCTATAAAGGTCTTGCTGACTGTGGAGTCAGAGCTTAAAATAGACTGATATTCTAGTATTTTACTAGAAAATTGGAGTATTTTGGAGGGCTTTTTTTTTAGCATCAGGCAAAGAAATTGAGCAAATGAGGTATCGTTTATATTTTAGCTATCTTTTTAGGACTCTGACTCAAGTTTTTATGATTCATATGAAGATGATTTAAGTAGTACCCAGCTTTTCTGTGCTGCTGAATGTTCTTCCCATCCACAGGCCATGTATCGGGGAGTGTGTCTTCACAGCCTCTGCAGTTCATGACCCAGCATGTTAACTTAAACTGCCATTGATTTTGGTTTACGCTCGAGCTCTGGGCTTTGAGTCTGGTGGCTGTGCTGTCGCACCACCTGGTTTGCCCTATTCACGCTGCTGGAACCTCAAGCAGGAGGTGGGCACGTGCCTGACGTGGGCGACCTTATTGCAGTGAGCTGTGACAGCTGGCAGGGCTTGTGGCTCGCATCTTCCAGTGATGGAGAAGAGTTGTTTCCCTCAGGGGAGGCAAACAGGCCTTGCACAGAACTAGGAAAGCTTGTACCTGTAACCTCTTATTTCCCTGATGATAGTGATCAGTCATATTTTAATCCTTGTTAGAGCCAGAGATCTCCTTGGCTTTCCCCACTATGGGAAAGAAATTGTCTTTCCAAGAGTTATTTTATACTTATTTTCTGCATCAATAAAAACAAAAAGATAAAACCCCAGAAGACCCCAAATTTTCAAAATCTTTGAATTTTCTTTTTCAGTTTCAAACTGTAGTTTACATGTTGGTCATATCTTTTTTTTTTTTTTCCTCTTTTGTAGGAGGGGGTAGAAGGCCGAAGGGAATAACTTCCTCAAAACTGGTAAGTACTACTTTTCCTGAGCTGGGATGGTTTACCTAAGAATAGCTGATATGAAGAGCTGGCATCCATTCCTGGAAAAGTTTGATGCTTACTGAAACTGAAATCCTATCTGTTCTTATATTCAGAAATTAAATCTCAAAAAGTAAATGTTACTGATGGAAGCATCAGTCCTATAAATAAATTCACTGCAGGGCTGAGATTTGGACCTGAGAGTCTGTAAGTACAATAGACATTTAACTTTAGCTATCCAAAAATATATTTTTTTTCTGTGTAATGTGAAAAATAAATCTATCTGAAGGGGTTTTGAGTGCAGAAAGACTTTTGCTTAAAATCCTAAATTATTTAGCATCCCTCCATTTGCAGATCAGTAATTAATAGCTTTTGTGCATGTTTTTTTATATTTTTACATGTGCACATGTGTATTTAAGTCGCATAAACTGTATCTCCATTGTACTTTCCAAAATAGCCATAGTTTAAATATCTTGATGATATTTTGGGGAATTGCAGTGGATTGTATTTTTTTTTTTTTAATTGAGATAATAATAGAGAAGTGCTAATACACTTACATGACTCAGATTCATTCAGTTTCTGAATGTTTTTGTATAAACATGCAACCTCCAAGCTGCTTTAACTGAGGTGAATTGTGGCACTTTATCTGTGTGAAATTGAGGTGATCACATCAGAAATATGAGATTATTTATGACAAATTCGTGCCAGCAAGAAACTGACTGGAGGACTGCTGTCTCCAAAGTTGAAATTAATCCAAGGAGTGTCAAATTTATGTCTTGCTGTCAGTGTTCTTCCTGGTTGTGGCTTGAAAGTGTGTCTGGATGTGTAAGAGATGCAAGTGCTCCTCAGTCCTCTGTTTTCCCTTTGGAAGTCCCTGTTTCTAGCACTAACGAGGCATTTGCATGTTTTAGAAATGAATGGGATGAAAGCTGTTTGCAGACCAACCAGTCCATGCAATTTCAATCACCAACAAGAATTTTAATTAAAATAATAATTTTGCCATTAGAAGAGTAAAGTGAAAAATGGAATACATTTTATGATTAATCCAGGGATAATTTTATACTTTCTAAAAAGTGATATTGTAGGTAGTTCATAATGCCACTGGTCATGAGCTATTACATCTCCCCTGGAAGCTGAGTCTGAAGGAATAAAAGCTCAAGGATACTGAGGATTTTTGCATTTAGAAACGTGTGACCACTTGTCTAGGTAGTTCTGCACCTGCTTTTGGAAGAAGTACAGGTAGTAGTTGGCCAGCTGTCCTCTAGATATTATTCTACATAAAACAGAAAAAAAAGTAATCTAGGATTTGTCAGATATAAAGAATGATCACTTTTTTTTTTAATTAACACTGACAAAGTGTTTAGGTGCTTCAGGGGAATTTCAGCCAGGGGTAACTTGGTTGTTAGAGGAAGGCTACAAGTGTGTGTTCTAGAGTGCTTTATACAACCACATACACTTCATTTTTATAAATTGGCAACTTGACCAAATTTTAAAAATGATCATCTTATATCTTATTTAAAGTGTTCTCCACACTCCCTTCCACCTGTAATGGTTTGGATGCTCAGGATGCTTCAGAACCTCCTAATAAATTCTTCATTACCCTTTGCCTGTTTCCTCATATTTAAAGTGATGGTGATGCGTGCCTCAGCTTGGATGCCATGCCAAATATGCAGTATCTTGTCTGTGATTTAACACCGTTCCACTAATTGCCAATCCTGGGCCTTTTTTACAAAGGAGGATAGTGGTGCTGCTGGTGATATCTGCAGCAGCTGGCAGAGAAGGTGATGGCACAATATCATTCCATACTGGCAGCTTTTGCTGATGGAGCACTGTTAGTTTTTCCTCCTTCCATATGGAGCACCTGGTTTTTGAAGAGAGAAGGTTGTTCCCTATGCTTAATATGTCCTTCAGTGCAACCTTGCCTGCAGAAGGTAACTGGAAGTAAATGATACTGCAACACGAGTTGCTCTGAGGCTGTCATGAGAGCACTGGAGGAGGGGATTCATAAAATGGTTTGGGTTGGAACGGACCTTTGAGATCATGTAGTTCCAACTCTCTGCTATGGGCGAGGACACCTCCTACTGGACCAGGTTACTCAAAGCCCCATCCAGCCTGGCCTTGAATGCCTTCAGGGAGGGGGCATCCACAACTTCTCTGGGAAGTAGACAGAGAGCCAATAGTTTTTTTAAATAAAAACAACAACAAAAACTTTAATTAGAAAAAAAGTCATGTATCTGGTTTTTTCTCTTGCCTTTTTTTAGATGCTTCAATCATATTTATTGGAATTCCACAGAATTTTTTTGTAGTGTAACAAATATTTCCAGTCTATATACATTTAAAAAATGTTGTGACTAAGGAATCTTGTCCTAAAACCTAACCTAAAATCTGTTAACTTTCAACATTAAAATAAAAGTCTGAAATTGTAACAAGTCAGCAATGGATGTTTTACTGGCATTGCTTTGGTTTCTGATTGTTCTTCAGTACTGCAGTGAATTACACTTATTCCTGGCTTCAGCTGTGTAAACATGAATTGGCTGAACAGCCTCCTGCTTTTGCAAAACACTGCTGCTTTTTGCTCAAACTTCTTAAAAATTAGTTGTGAGAAATCTTTCCAGCTGCTGAAGGTGTCTATGAAGTGAAGTTTCATTATTTCTTATGAATTAATGGTAGTTGCTCAGGCTTTGTGTGTTGTGGAGGAAGTACTGTGTAGTACTGGGCTATACAAGTGTGTGCTAAAATAATGTACAATTCTGATGTTCTCTGAGATGACTTTTTCCTGTTTTGCATTTTGCTTTAAAGTTAGCATGTAGCTGTAGAATGATACTCACTGTTTATCACGAGTGCTATCTCGTGCATGGGAGACACACGAGAGAGACTTTGTTCGTGCCTGCCTGAATCTTTACCTCAAAATGGAATTTCCAGGGCTTATGAAATACTTTTTGCCTCAGCAGTGGGCTGCAGTTTTCATTAGTCTCTCTCCCACGTGGTTTTCTGAAGCATGGTTTCTTTTGAAACTGCAGTGATGGGGACTTAATGCACGCTGTAGTTCTTGCCTGTGACTGGAGGTACTAATCCAGGATTCTGTTTTCTCATTAAGGTCTATGGTAATAGAACAGGGAACTATATGTAGTTTGCATGTATCCCTTGGTACAAATTACAATTTTATGGAGAGTGATGCTGCAAAGGCAGCTGTTCTAGTTCTTCTGGGCCACGTGTGGGAGAGACCCTTGCAGAAGGTCATTCTGAGTGTTGTCTAGAAAGTCTGATCAGGTCTTTGTTATTTAAATAAGTAAATTTAAGGTACCAGCAAATGGTGTGGAAAAAGAATGAGTTGGAATATAATGCTTGTATAAGGCCCTTGATAGTCTTCTCCCTTAATAACGTGGTGCTGTTTGTGAAGAGAAACAAGGCTGGCTTAAAAACCAACCAAACAGGAAAAAAAACCTCCAACTTTATTTTCAGGAACTTGGACTCTCCCAACGCTTCAGTATTCTGTGTGCATGGGCAACATCAAAAGAAAATTCTTAACTTAAAGAATTATTCTCCTTTCATAGTCTAAGTGCCTAACTAAGTTGTCAGTAGACTTTTGACAGTTTGAAGTCCCATTATGAAGATCTGAGCTGACGATACCTGTGTGTTAATTGTGAACAGTTTTCCAAAGATAAAGAATGTAGAACTACTTTAACACTCCAACAGTTCTTTCATGTGTAATGTCTGGATGGAATGATTGCTATGTAGTATTTTCTGATGCATTTTATGCTTATGTATATAAATAAATCTCAACACAGGTATTTTTAGTCCAGTTTTTATACAAGTTCCATTGCTTTTTGAGCATGTTGGATAAAGATGGGGATCTTGATCCTGCTTCAGAATCTGATACTTTAAATGTATTTCTGGACAAAAATATCTTGTCCAGCTTTGAAGGCTTTTAGAAATACTGATTATAGCGTTCTTCTGTCTCAGAGGTTGGGGAGACCATTTTTTTTTGAAGTACAAATAAAGATGGTAAACTTATTTGCTGGAATTCCATCTAGAAACAGCAGAGGATTTAATACTTAATGTTTTTCAATATATTGTGTTTTGCATTTTCTTTCAAAATAGAAGGTGACTAACTCGGCACAAACGTTAGGCACTGCCTTATTAATGTGTTATGTTGTTGTGTCAGCATACAGACGCTCCCTCTACACAGCTCTAAAGTATGGTGGAAGTATGTTAATGCTGTACATGCTGTTTAACAATTTATTGTCATTTGGGTTGGAAATTTATTGTCTCAAGAACATTTTCTTGTCTATGCAGATCTTTATTTACTTTTTTTAAACATTCTTAGTAGCTTTCTAATTTAATATGCAACTGCAAAGAAATATTGGAAGGAAATAGTTGCCTGCAAAATGTGATAAAGGACAAGGATGTCAACTTTTGGGGTATGTGAGAAGCAGTGCGTTTGGCTAAACTACACCAAGGCAGCTCTTGTTAAATTTCTTGTGTTTGGAAGATTCCATGTGTTTAGGGTAGGAAGCTGTAGTTTAATATGATTCACAGAATTCCTGTTCTGTTTTTTTTTTCCCTGTTTTTCAAGCTAACTTCTGTCTTTTACTAGCTAAAGCAAAACTTTTTTTTTTTCTATAGCACTGGTGAGGAGAGGAAACCAGGAACTAAAGGCACTGGAATCAGCAAAGACATATCTAGAGAAAGTGGAGAAGGTAGAGAATGGAGCTGCAGACTCTACAGGAGGCTCTGAAAGTGGAAATTCAGGTTCACCAGGTATTTTGTATTCTTTCTTGCTTTATATTTTTAAGTAACAGCAACATCGGTATCTGTGATAGCACTACAACTAATGGCGTTAATAGGTAATTAATACAACTATAGGTTGTAATAGTAATACAGTAATATATATATGAAATATATTATATAATTAATATATAATAATATAGTAAGATAGTTTCTGTTTTGTAAGTTTGAAATTGATTTAAGATTTTATAGTTTCTGTTTTTTGACCCCACCACCTGTTGTTTTTAGCAAATGTAGAAAAAATCTACATATCAGGCTGTGGGTGGGGAATTTTTTTGGATATATTTTAGCAGTGATAAAAAAACATTCAGAAAACTGTGTTCAGTAACTTCTGTCTGGAAGGATTTTCTGATATTCTAAAGCCAATTTCAATATTAAGTCGGGAATGGAAAATTATGGTGAAGGAACTTTTCAAGCAAATGTAAGAAGGCATGAGCATATTAAATAATTCAAAAATTATTGAAGCAGAACTGTTATACCTATAAACCCAGGGTAGCTGCCATCTAGTAACATTAGATTTATTTTCTAAAGACAGTTCTCCAAGTATTTCTCAGCTATTTCTTTCAGACCCGTGAAACTCACAGCTGTTACACAATGAATAAAATAAACTTATGGTTGTACAAATTTTGGAAAATATTTCCAAGTTACCTAGAACACTTGTTTGGACAAGTCATCAGATGACTTGTTCAGTAATTGTTGCAATGATGAGCATAGTGCAAGAACTTGAGTGGGTGGATGAGTTAGTTAAATGAAGTTATGTCTACTTTAATGAAGATAAAACTTTCAGCTGAGGAGAAGAACATTCAAAAAAACAATAGGTTAACTTCCAGAACTAAAGGCAAGTATTTTGCTCTCCTCAAACTCCAAGGCCTTTGCCTTCAAAACTTCAAACAGCCTTTTATGAAGGTAATAGAATTCAGAAATTACACATCGCATTGATTCAGGCATTAAAATAGTTAAGGCCAATAAGTAACTTTTTCCAAACGTTGTCTGCTGTATGGTAAGCAGACTGGTAATACTTGTGTTTGTATAACAGCATTTACCTCTCGTGTGTTGTCTTTATTTCTCTTTATTCCTAAACTAACAAAAAAAAACCCTCACAAAATTTTAATAAGCTTTCACATCTGTTCATAGTAACGATGAAAAAAGGAATGAAGGTCAGAAAAAATTGAAGACTCCTTTTTTTAATGACATAAAAAATATTTTGGTCTCACTTGCTTTTGCCCAGCCATCATGAAAAGTGAGGTCTGCATTTAAATCAAACTTAATTAAATTTTCTTTCAGTGGGTGAGACTGCAAGCCGTTATATCAGAAGATTGTTTACTTCTTAAAGACTGTAGATTCCAGTTACTAAGGTTAAACAAGTCTAAGCATTTACAGTGCGAAATAACGCTTACAGCAACATGTTGGGTGCTTCATAAACTCTTCTTGAACTGTGTACAAGTGGTTGCTGCTCTGCTGCTCATACGGCCATCAACAGAAATGTAAACTCTTCTGGCACAAACAAAAAAATCTCAAATGTTTTAATGTATTGTATACATTTCAATTCTTTAATTTAAAAATACAATATATCCTTCCTTTTAGCAGTACTACAGAAGTTCTGCACAATTGTCTTCTTTTACTTAATTTTTTTCCAAGGACACTTTAAAAGCTTGCCAAGAGAAACACAGTCACATTTTGTTCTCCTCTTGTACGTGGTGGACAGGTGTCTGTGATGGAGCTCAGCTCTTCACTGTGTGAACAAAGCCTCCCAGCTTTTTCTCCCTGAAGCAGCATGTCACTTGTCGTGACTGCTTACATAGCTGTAGAAAAGTGATGCTCAGTATGACTGCATTTTTGTTTGTAGAATTGCTCCTTGTTTCCTGCCTATTCCAGTTCACCTTCAGAACTCTGAAGCTTTGATGCTGCCTATTTGACAGAGTGTATCTTAAGCTACCAAATTAGGTGTTTAGTTCTTTAGGAGAAGGTACTTTTAGTTTCATTTTGATCTTTAAGGGAAGTCTGTCCAGGTCACTTGCTATATCAGAGTACAACGTTAATATTAAAATGCCTTCTATGACCAGCTGTGTTGCTTGTCCTGAGAAGAGACCATCAACTCTAAGCAGTTCATTCTGCTACTTTGTTGACTTAATTAAGGTTATTTTGAAACAGTCTGCTCTTCATAGTTTTGATCACAAGAGGTGTTAGAGGAGCTATACTTAGCTATTCCCACAGAAGGGGTGGGCTTTGTGGATGGGTCTTCGAGCTGATGAGTAGAAAGAAACTAAGCTGTCCTTTCCTTTTTCATTTCGTAGCAAAAAGATTTGTGTGTTTTTAAAATACCTTCATTTTAACATGTTTTTCTTGTGATTGGAATAATGCAGTACTACATGTTCCATAAATATGTTAAAAACAGTTTACAGCCACTAAGTGTAATGTCTTGATTGAAACTGTACAGTAACTTTGTATGTGTAAAAACTAACAGATTTGTTTGTCAAGCTCTAATGTGGAACACACTGAGGAAAACTGAGTTAAGCATGTAAGCACAAGGCTAGTGTAGCATCTCACCTTCCCATAACACTGCATGATGAAAAAATAATATCAAGTGTAGATAAATGCCAAAGTGATGCACCTTGGAAAAGCCATCCATCTTACATCACTGAACTAGCTGTTAGTACTGAGCAGGCAGTTCTTGCAATACAGAGTACTTGAATGTTGTATGCAGTTCTAATCCCGTTGTTTACAAGTGATGGAGAAGAACGAGAGAAGTACGGGGAACAGTGCTAAGAATGAGCAAAGTAGTGGGATGGTTAGGGCATAGGGAGACTCTCAATCTGAAATATGAAAGGTGTGAATAGGTGTGGTATGAAAATGAGTAGAGAAACAGCAAGAATGGCTTTCCATAATTTCAATTACATTCATGCATGCATTAGCAGGAAGCGGGTTCAAAAGAAGGAGGTCCTTTTACGTAAGAATATTCTAGTTTAACTTTTGAACATACTGTTACAGAATTTGGAGTGTTTTCTTTAATTCAAAAAGTAATTAGAGCAGATTAATGAAAGAAAAGTTTTAGCTGTTGAGGCTAAGATACCATCTTTCACTGAAGTCATCTAAGCTGTAAATTTCTGAAGGATGGGAGATAACACTATGATTGTGCAGTACTCCAACTGACGGCCACGTTTGCTGTTGGCTAGGAAAAGATATTAGGGCAGAAATACCTGTGGTCTAACTCGGATTTGTGTGTTATGCTTTTTCTGATAAGTACCACATCCAGGATGTGAAACGTAATACACTTCAAAAAAAATTCATTGGCCAAATCTGAGTTGTCTGAGTAATATTAATGCAGGTGGAAATAAACACTTTTCTTGTTTGCTTTCTCTTCTTCACTCCTTTTCCTGGTACTGGAGAAGCAGTACAGATTTTCACGTTCTAGGAACAATGTAATTTAATGAAATGTAGCTGTAACCAAGGAAGAGATTTGGGCTGGGAGAAGGGGTGAGGGTGGTTCGTTGCCTGTTCGTTCTGGGCTCTAGATGTTTTCAGTGAGAGCCTGATAATTTCCCTGCTTATCAACAGACAACATCCCCCTGCAGCTGCTTGAAGGAAGCAAAGGAGAAAGAATAGTGAATGGTAACCATCTATCCACTTTCCCTTGAATGCAGAAGGCATCTTTTCTGCAATGATATCAATCTCTCTGACTGAGGGAGAAAAGTGGCAAAGATACTTCTGAACATGGATCTTCCATGTGGTACCAGCCAAGCCAACACACAGGCAGTTCCTTGGTATTTGAAATGTTCTATGTCTGAGTATACAAACAGCTTTTGTGTTTGCAATGATTCTCTGTGATTTGTTTCTTATGACTGCAAGCAAAGGCGGCTGCAGTTCTAGAGAAGACATGGCTGTAAGATCAGTTTCTTCAGCTGGCTTAAATTGTCCTGCAAAGGCATCGTTTATTCAAGAACTGTTTTGGAGGAGAAGTGGTGACTTATTTTACTGCGTTAATCAGAATAGGTTTAGAAATCATTTATTTTGGATTCCTTATGGATTTAAGTGAAAACTATAAAATGTGTATTTTGGTGTGTTTCTTATAAAGATTCTCCAAAAATGTTGGTTTTGAACTGCTCAGTGGGATCCTTCATAAGTCTTCATTTTATCATTGCATCTCTTTCTTTCTAGAAACTGGTTGCCCAAATGAAGCAAGATCCACAGGTAACTATCTATTTTGTATTGTTTTATTTATGTCTAAGAATAGCGAGAATAACAGTGCACGAAGTTTGAGAATTTTAGATATTTCATCATGTTCTTCCATGTTAACACAATTTTTAGAGGAAAACTATTAAGAACGAATCTTTAAAGAAATGACTGCATTGTTCTTTTAAAATACACACCAACAAAGAAAAACCCACCAACCCTTTTTGGAGCCTTTTGCCTCTTTCTTAATATTTTATATCATGGGACCACTGCAAGCAATAATGCAACTCAAATATTAAGTTTCTGGTTCTTCTGGAAATATCTCTTCACCAAATGTGCAATTTCTAGATATAGTGTTTTTCTTGTCTGAATTTTTATACAAGCTGAAAGAGGATCCTCCTCACAAGAAACTGTGTCTGAATGAAGAACACTGCTTAAGACTGCATTCAGTTTGCCTGTCTTAATTATCCAGCTTCAGCACTGTAATATCTGAAGCGTGGCCACTTGGTCTTGTGGTGTTTCAGAGCTACCAAAGCCTGGGTAATTAGGCTCCTTGTGTAGACAGCAAAAGCTTCCTCTTTCCCAGTGGCTATGCAAAGAGACTTGGTTTATCCTGCAATTGAGAAATCGTTTGCTAAATGGGGAGTTACGTCAGGCTTACTAGTAAGAGCATCCATTCCCATAGCAAAATCGCATTGGAAAATCTACTTGCTAAAAGTTTGCTGCTCCTCCTTTCTAGACAAGTCTGCTAGTGATTACAGAGTAGTTGGCTTTCATGTCTAGTGAGAGAGATGTCAGAGCTGCAAACAGCCATGCGAAGTTCATGGAATCGTTAAGAGTAAATTTGGTCACTGTTTCAGAATTCTTAATATTCTGGGATAAAAAAGTAGGAAGTAGAATCTAGAGAAAGGGAGAATGGTTGGTCAGTATCTTGTTTCGCTGAGGCTGTGTTTATATTAGACAAAGCTATCTACAAATAACTGAGTTGGGATTTTAATGTCTTTCAGAATTGTAGATGAATATAAGAACAGGGAAGTTTTCTTGAGCATGAAGTTTCTGTAACAATATTAGTCTTAGGTTTTAGTGTTGTGTTGTACAACAAGCCCGCATAATCCAGCATAAAGACTTTACAACGTAAATTAAGGAAAAAAAAATAAAATTGCAGGGAGGTTTGCTTCCTTGTCACACTTCTTTAGAGCTTCACAGTCTTTAAACTGAGTGCATTATTGTTTGGGTTCTTTGAAATTATTTTTAGTAGAAAAGAAATGGTCCTGGTAAAAATTGTTTTCTGACTGCATCTTTATAGTGGTGTTTATTGCTTTCAAATCTTAAAGTGCTATTGTAAGCAAAGTGCTGATATGAATGATGTGCTAAGGCAGATGTAATTCCCTTAAATATAGTCTAAGGCATAAAAACATTTGGAAATGAATACGTTAGGTATGTTAGCCTTCATTTGGCATGTGTGGTAGTTAAGATTTAATAGATATGGTTACTGGTGTTCAACATAGTCAAATGTATGCCTTTGCATAAATAGCACAGATGAGCATGCTTTAGGTGACGTACTGTTGCATACAATAAGATACTGTCATATTATATATTGACAAACGTTTCTTGTTTAATTTGTAAACTTGATGGAATGTGAAAATGTGCTTTATATTGTGGTGAGCACTAATGGATGTTTTAATGAAATCCGAGTTCCAAACTGAGCTGTCTCTCTTTGAGTGGTACAAAAGTCCTCTGCTCTTTTTTTTTGCACTCAGTAACTTAAGTAAGGCTTTGTTGAGCCTCTTGAATTTAATTGGGTGTACATCCAGAGGTGCTGCATTTGTAGTAAAATATGAAAAAAAAAAAGCCTTCCTGCTACTACTCTATGTTAACAAACGGAATATCTTTCTCACAGATATTTTTTCTTTCTAATCAGAATGCTGATTTGAAGAAACAGCTTCATGAACTTCAAGCCAAAATCACAGCTCTGAGTGAGAAACAGGTAGGGAGATGTATTTTTAACACCCTTTTCTAAAAATGCATCTTCTCCCAGCTTCCGAGATAACTGCTAAAGCTATTGATGTACAAAAAGTAAGTGTGGGCAAACAGGTGCTTTGGACTGTATTTGATTCCTCTCAGTGAAAGACAAGATGGATATTACAAGTCCATCGAGAAAGCAATTAGTTTAATTGGTGGAAGCTATGAATTTTTTAGTGTTGAAACTAAATGTTTTTTTATTAAGGGAGCTGGGAAAATGAAATAATTTTGTCATTTATTATATAGTTATTTTGAAACTTTAACAAAACTGAAACATCCTGCTTTAGGCAAATCTTTAGATTCTGTTTTCATCGGACTAGGCTATGCATTTCTAAATGAGTATTCTGGAGTATTTCCTTGTGTTGAGACCAAGTAAATGTGTGTCGGTTATAAATACCTAATAGACAAATTGGAGCTATGTTGCTTGCTTTTACCATGATAAATTGCACCACAATTGTCTTATATTTGCCATTTAGTAGTTCTCTGCAGGTTTTATGTATTAGTAATAATTACAACTGTATGCTTTATAGCAACACTTTGGAACTGGAAGATGCATCTTGTGGGTAACTAGAAGAAAAGTAAATAACACTGAGACATCAGGAAATTTGTTCTCATTTGTGTTGTAACAATAGAAAAGCATTCATATACAGAAATCCCCCCCCCCAAATTAAACTGACTTAGCAGTCCCTGACTCTTATTGCTATTGTGTGAGAAACTGAACTGAATTAGGTTGTCTGCTGGGGTCAATAGCTTACACCTTTTGAAAATGGGAGGCATTTTAAAATGTGTGCATAGGAAAAAAAAAAAAAACCAACATATAGTTATGTGTCAGTGTCCTACCTAGATACCTATGTACATCTGTTGTTATCTGTTCTGCTTTAAAAGTCTGCAATAACTGCCCTTCCTAAGGAAAGAAGTAGATAATGATAAACATTTCTCTAGAAACTTTGTTTACTAAAAAATTATAGCATGTTTTGGTACTGGAACAATGAGTCTAGTAAAGAACATGTAAGGATAATAAAGAGAATGATTTTTTAATGAGAATTCTAATTCAACAAAAACTGAGGTTTTGCTGTTGTGATGGCATGCCTCTCTTGAAGATGATTTATTCTCTAAAACCAGCATGAGCCTCTGCATACAGCTATGTCTCACAGCAAGCAGCTTCAGAATTCTCTAGGAAGCTCTGGGGCCCATGGTAATCTCAAAATTAGCTTGCCTTGATGCCATGAAGCAACTTAAATTGACTACCAGTTCATGTGATCAGCAGTGAGATAGTGAAAGATAAGTAAGATGCATGTCTTATTGGAACTTTAAAACTGATTTATAACTTCTAAACTTACATTATAAAATACATATTGGTATATTCAATGCTTTAAATTATTTACCTCCAAAACCACAGCTATATATAGTTTCATACAAAGCTGAAAGTTACAGCTCAGGGCGCTGAAGCACATTTGTTCATGGAGAATAACATGGGCTATGTTTCCAAAAGATTCTGAAAAACAAGTTTCTGATTTTACTTCCACCACTCAGAGAGTAAATATGAAGTCACAGTTTGGTCTCAATCTTTGCATTTTTGTGGTTTTGGCTATCCATAGAACAGTGACCTTCTCTGACTGTGTTGAGATTTAGGTACTTTTTATCTACCACTGCAGATCTGCCAGTGTCCCAGATAACTGAGTTATTAAAGTAGTATGGATGCTAAAATGCAGTCATAATGGTAAATAAGTTCTAGGAAGAGGTTGGGAAAAAAACCATCCAAAACACTAAAAACAAACAAAATCAACAAACCGAACACAACTATTTCCTAATGGAAAGAAATGCTCACTTCCTATTAATTGTAGGAATCTGTTGTATAGACAGCTGTGGCTTGGCATTGTGGAGTTAAAGTAGCACTATAGAGACTGCAACAAAGCCTTTATTTCTGTTCTCACTTTCATTTCTTATTTTGGGAGAAACAATTGTTACCAGTTGTTATATGGGGAGAATGTGATTCAATAATTTAGTTTTCACAGAATGGGGAGATGTGCAGTTTTGTGTAATAATTTATTTATATCATCCAGTGCATTTCTTGAGGAAGATGGTAAAGTACAATGTGTGTTATCTGTAATGTTGTGTAGAGCCAAGTACTCTTGACATATAATATCCAATGAATAAACTCTGAGGGTGTAACACTTGCACTGTGGACAGTTGCAGGAGGCGTAATTGTCACTGTTTGATCAGCTTCTAATGAAATGTGAAATATTAAAGCTCCAGCCAGTGTGATGTCCCTCCTCTGAGGCTATGGAGTGGAGCTGAGACTGTGAAGTTACACACGTGGAATACTGGAATATTTCTGGCTTGTGAAATGTTATGCCAACTTAATGCACCCTTTCACTTTGCACTTTCATGTAATGAAATTGTACAAAGACTTGTAGTGCAAGAAGCAAGTCAGTGGTAGTGGAGCTAAAAGCTTTCAGTTGCTTTAGGTTCCCTCTCAATTTCTAGTACTGTGAGAGTAGTGCTGATGTTGGTGCAATCACTGCAGTGATTCATAGTGCCTTACATTTCTTACTGAGAATTAATGATGAGAGGTCTATTCAGAGGTTTGTGACATCGAAAAGTTCTGGCAAAGTGGGGAAAGAAACCAAGAATTAGGCTTAAGCCTAAATAAATCTGTTACTTGATACAGGTTGGAACTGTTCCAGCACAAGGTATGGCAAGTACACGTATGGTTATTGAAAGGTTGGAGATGGTGAAAATAAGTGCTTTGATTTATTTCATCTAGAAGTTGATGGAGCAATGTCTACTGATTGTGTTATTGTGTTTTTGAAGAAAAACTTCAAAAAGAAAAAAGCTTTCTTGAATGTGATTTGCATTTAGAGGGCAGTAAAAATGAATGATACAGACAATTATTTTCTCCTTCTAGTCTCTTCATGTTACTAACATGACATTCTAAGCTGGGTTTTCCTAATCTTGGGGCAGAAAGGTGTATTCAGATTAATGGTCTTGCTCCTCAGCTATTAACATCAGTGTTACAGTTGAGACTGCATTGCTTTTAAAACTGATTTCCTTCTTGCTGCTCTAACCTACCCTTAGCCATCTCTTTTAATAAAGCAAAGTTGGGAGTAACTTCTTGCAAAAGTTTTAATTCCCAAATCTAAACTTGGGTTTTAAATTTGAATTAGTTCTACTACTGTATAGTTCTTTTCTTATTATGCTTTTAAAAACAATGTTATTTTCACATGTAAGAAAGTAATAGAATCTTCAGTGCTCTTCCCTTTGTATTCTTGAATAGTGCCTTTCCTTGGCATTGTTTTGTAGGCGTTTACCTATGATTGCCTGTGCACCACTCAGCTTTTGTTTGTGTTAAATGTATCCTTCACAGTAAAAATATGAAGAATGTGTTCTTGAATTTTTCCAGGAGGATATTTAGTAACGTACTTTTTTTTCCTTCCTTTTGGGAATTTGAGGTGGAATTACTATTCATGACGTCAGTGAAAAATTGTTGTGGATCAGGACTGATGTAAAGTTACATCCCAATTCACCTGTTAAGCAGCACTTTCTTTCCTGCTGCTTTTCTTATTTTGTTAATTAAGAAGTAAGATGCTTTTTCACATGTGGCATCACTAGATGCATATCATTACAGTACTTTTTTTTTCCAGTGACATGAAAAAAGTCAGATTTATTTGAATGAGGAAATTTAAAGGAAGGAGGGCAAGAAACAAATGGTTTTTAACAGCATCATGTCAAATATGGAGCGATTTGTACATCTGCTTTCATACTTCCTAAGAAAAGTTGTAGCAACATTCTGTCTGAAGTGTGAAGGAAAGCTTACAGGAGTAGAATCTTTTGACCTTATGCCTGTCACCATCACCTTTTTTACTACATGCTAACGAAATTGCACTCTCTTTTCTCTCTTTTTGAAAATAAATTGAAGGTGTCTTGTTATAGTTAGTTGCAGTGCAGTTAATTTAATCTTCAAGAAAAAAATCTTGTGAAAACCAGACTTGTATTCTAATGCATTTCCTCTGGCATAGAAAGAATAAAGTATCATAGGATTATAGACTCCTTTGTAAGCATATGCAGTTCTTTCAAATTGAAGTGATGTGGAAAAGTATTTTAAAATAGTTTTTAGCACAGGGATACTTGTCTATACTTTTTGGAGCAGGGTACTGGGTGAAGTTTAAAATACTTTACTGAGGAGAACAGTTAAAACTGTAGAATCTCACCAGGTAAAATGCACATTGGAAAACAAGATTCTCTCTCATTATAGATGTTATGCACGAATTACTGACTTCTGCTTGTGTTTAAAGCTCAGAGCAAATTGAGGTAGTTTAGAGTATTTTAAATCCTGTGTCTTCTGGTAAGACTCTTTTTTAACCTTGCCACTAAATAGCAAGTGAAAAGAAAGGAAGTTTTGGAGGGATTTTAGGAATTGTACTGTAATCTAGCCTTTGGTTTTATATGGTTGTATAAATGTAAACATGAGGTTTAGACTGGATGGGGAAAGTTATTCTTTAAAAATGGTCAGGAATGGGATTAATGTTGCACTATTTATTCCACATTCCGTAACAGAGAACTAAAAAGATTGGTAATGTGCACAAATGCCTCCTATGAGCTCGCTCTCCTTGTGTGCTTGTTATCCATAGTAAAGGTGAATTTTCATGGAGCCTTTTTGAGCACGTTATCAGCAAATTGTACCCAAAACATGTTCAGTCATATTCTGTAAGTGTGAAATGCTGTGCTTTGGTGAGTGGAAAGTAAGTGTAAAACGGCGAGGGAGAAGGAGGGAAGCAGTACAGTTAGCAGGGAGGGAAGAACGCTTAAGAATGTATTTGCACTATTCATAAGAAGATGGGTGAGATATGCCTTTATGTTTTAGGTATATCCAGTGAAGGCTTTGACGATATTAGTGTGTAAACTATGGAAATAAATAAACAATGAAGTTGCTCACTTCTGTCAGTTTTGCCTGAAGTTCCTAAT